GATAGCTAAGTTGGTAGCAAATGAAATAAAACGGAGACAGGCAAGCAGCAAGTTAAAGATGACCTTCTTAGTTCCCTGCATGTTAGTGAATTATGCAGTATGAACTGTTTGAAAAAACATGTTTGGGTTGGGACATCTGAGTAATATGTGTGTATGCGTGTGTGTCCACCATAAATTTAGCTCCTGATCTACATACTTTTGTGATTTCCAAATTCCTTAGAGCAGCTTTGAAGTTTGTGGGTTTTTTTACATTTTGCCTTGTTCCTCATTTCTCACTGATATCGAAAATCTTGAAAAGCTCTTCCTTTCTTGTAAGATCTTAAGTGAAGTATATCAGACTGCACAGATTAGCCTTTTGGCCTTTTCTCAGACAATTTAACAAAATGTCATGTTGCAACAAAGGTCAGACACTTAATCCCCAGTGGTATCCACTGTCTATCTGTAAGGACAGTGTTCCTTTTGTAGTATGAAGACAAACTTTGGAAGGTACAACAATAGAAACACTTACATTTCCAGACAAGATGGCCAGAGCACTTTGGCAATAATATAGATACTGAAGTTAAGCAGATTTTTCTATGTATTATGAACAAGTAGAGAATCATAAATTCAACTAACAACCTTTGATTTTGTGACCTACTCAGATCTTTTTTTTAAAACCATCAAATGCTCACGTCATAGGACCCCACCCCCACAAAAAAACAATCCATAAGTGGCACTAATTTAATAATTTCCTTCAAGCTCAGGATCCTTTGGAATGTTACTATGTATTTAAATAATTTGATTTAATTTCAGCCCAAGTTTTTACACTATAAAATGAGGGTGGTCCAATGCATTTACTACACACCAACCAGCAGGTAGAATAAGGACCACACACAGAGTGCCATTAGGAAAAGCGATGTGGCCGGGACAGGTGCCAACGCAATACCATCACCCGGCCAGTTTCACAGATCCACATTAAAGATGGTTGTCTAGCCTTTTCAACTGAGTCGGCACATATCTAACTGGATTATTCAATTCTAATAGGGATTGACTTGCATCGACAGATGTGAGCATTCATTAGGTGAAGAGGCACCTTGGCCACAATGTTCCGAACGTGAGGTATTTGAGAAAGTCTGTCAGGGAATTAGTGGCTGTGGGGATTACCGTCCGCTTGTTAATTCCCTGATTAACACTGAGCTCACCATCTTCCACCACCCATGCACTTTGCCTCACTGACAAAACTGACAGTTAGATCCGCCTGGTTTCTCTCCCACCAACACTAATGTACAGTCGATGGTATTTTCTTGTAAGAAGTATACAAAGTAGGATTCTATTGCACATTTGTTTTACATTTGACCTTTTTTTTTTTTTTATGTAATGCATCAGTATGCACAGTATCTACACACTGACACCATCAATGCAGCACCATGGACAGGGCCTTACTAAGCTTTAAATCAATCAGGACTGTGCCTGGTGTCATATTTGTTTCATTTATACCTAAAAGTGTGAGTAGGTTAATGTATATTTACATCAATATAGTTTAAAACACAATTCAGAACAAACTCTTTACAATGTGTTGTTCTTTTATATGTAACTAAACCTGACCGCGGCAAATTAAATTCATTTGGAATGTTTATGGAGGAATGCAATGCAGCTTGGGTGACCTTGGCTGGTACCATTTTGTTCTAGTGCATTCAAAGTAGTGTTATTTTCTTATAGCTCAATTCATCAGCAGAGGTGATCGTCTCATCTCACGCTTCAAGACTGTGATTACTTCTAACATACGTAAAAATATTTTTAATATTAATATTTATTAATATTATTTTAGTTGAATCCCAGTTTCGTTGATTCTGCATGCCGAAGTGTCCTTAGACAAGATTCCCAAATTGCTCCTGATGGCTGTGCGGGCAGTGTGTGAGTGTGATAGAGAAAAGCGCTGTACATAGATGCACTGTATGAATGTATGTATGAATGGGCAAAACTGTTAAACTGTAAAAGAGCTTTGAGTGGTGATCAAGACCAGAGAAGTTCTAAATAAATGTCACTAGTGTAACTATGGATCTCATTAGGTGGAGGTCGGATAATGTCATCCTGAATTAACTGTCCAGGGGCATCGACAAAGTTTCTGAAGTTCCTATAAGGACTTTGGTGAAAACCACTAATTACAATTACTGCTATTTTTCGACAAACTCACTGGTCTTCCTGTAATTTCAATCCTGTGCAGGGCGTCCATGTACTCTGGATCTGCTGTTTCTGCCACAGAAAGCTTTAACTTGCTGGTTGCTATGGAAATCAAGCTCTCATTGACTCACTTCATATCTTCCCTTGTCTTCCTCTAATCAAATGAAAACCTTTCAGATCGACCTTACCAGTGAATGTTGTTTTCATCTGTGAAGTAATATTATCAACATTAGACTGCAGATATGATTGCTCTCTCATTCTGTGGATGATTTATTTGATTCCAGTCGGTTAAAGTGACTATTATTTAATTTAAATGATCATCATGGAGAAAATGTTATGATACATCCCTGCAAAAACACCATGAATATCACATTTAAGAATGGAAATTAAG